CCTCCTTCTGTCTACTTTTCCTAGCCCTGCGTCTGGCTGGCTGACTTTCCCACCTTCCTCCAGGTTTAAAAGTTTAGTCTGGGCACTGCCCAGCGAGAGCAGCGGATGGGAAGCTGCTATAAATGACCATTTTCTCACAAAAAGCACTAAGCAAGAGGGAGCAGGGGACTCACTGTGACCTTGATTTTTACTGACTCCGTATACTGAGGTCCAGAAAAATCAAGATTGATTAGTATTGGTCTGGCTTGGCTTCTAGCAAGTAGCCCACTGATTTCTTGTTCCTCGTCTTCATCCAGACCTAGTATTTTTTTTTTTTTTTTCCAGCTGAGATCTTGGGTACTGGATCGCCTTAATCTTTAGTGATCTTTGGCTGTTATTTTCACCTTGGGAAGCATGGAAGTCCCAGAGTGCTATCCGGGCTTGCAGAGATTGTCTTTGTAGTGGATGTTATTTGTTTCAGCTGACTCTTGTGGTCTTAGTTGTCTTGGGAATATGGAATTGAAAATAAGAATCTTTGCTTCCTTAGAACTGCGTGTTTCATTGCCAACCTGATTTGATTCAAAGACGCTTGTGGGTGCTCAGGCTGACCCCAGAATCTGAAGAAAGCTTGACTGGTTTATGTCCCAGAGTTCCAAACGCTAGGCGATTTTATGTAGAATTTTTAATTGGGCTGGGCCTGTCCTGTTGTTCCTGAAGGCTGTTAGAGCTTAGGCCTGAGATTTTTATCAAATAGTGTTTTTCAACCTTTCAGTTTCTAACCTGGCTTTGGTGAAGATTCTGGCATTCATATGTAAATTAACTTTTCTTAACACTGTCAAGTCTGGAGCCTGAGTGATAGGAAAGGCAAATTTACTCTTTGGAAGTCCAGGTCTTTGAGATTGTCCTTAACCTTTCTGGTATGAGAGACAGAGAGAGACAGAGAGAGAGAGAGACAGAGAGAGAGAGAGAGAGAGAGAGAGAACACAGCCTTAATATGTAAAGTATTAGCTAAGATTTTACCCAGCTCCCTGTATGTCAGTGACCTGAAACAAACTTGAAACTCACTTTCTGTGTATGCATTTATATTACTCTTAGGTCGTCTCATTTCTAACCAAGACATGAATGGTTTATTCTAGTATATTCTTTCTTAAGGGTTTCAACAAACACTTTCCATCTGTAAATGCAAAATTTTTCCATTGCTAAGCTCCGGAGTTTAACACATTTGGATTGCTTTTACTTTGCACAACATGGTGTTTGGCAGTCGGGTTTACATGATATGGTAAAGTGGTAAGGAAATTTCTGTGGCTGTTTCATTAAGTTAGAATTAACTATTGATTTACTTTGAAGGTGGTCCGAAATTGTTGAGAAGATTTTTGTCTATGTAAGCATCTGATTTTTCTAGTTCAAAGATCATCAAAGGAATTGATACACTATACTAGGAATGTGCTAATGGTGGTGTGGTTTTTGATCTGGGAAGTATTCACATCGAATAAAGTGTATCTTACCCTAATATAACTCTTAATTATGGCCAGTTGCTCCCTAAGGATGTTTCTGGACCCTAATTAAAGAAAATAAAGTTGGTGTCCATGATTGGGTAAAACATACATAAACATTGAGACTTCTTAATACTGAAACTCCAACTCAGTTTGAAAAGGAAGTTTGGTAATAATTTGCTTAATATTCTGGCACAGATTTTTAAACTCCAGTTTTAAAAATCTGTCTCCTCTACTTCTATCAATCTAAACCTTTATATAAATACAATTACAATTTGGGATCATGGGGTAGATTCCAATAGAGATTGAGAAGAATAATGCAGTGGATGTCTGTCCCTTCCCACTGCCTTTTTCTTTAGGAGGGGATGGGGAGCCCTGGGACTTTTGTTGTGAACTTCGCAACAGAGGTCATGGGTAGCAGCTGACATCAGGGAAAG